AGTTCAAAGGCGTTTGCTTATATTTCCTTTAATAAATTTGACTTGACTTGACACAGCAACAGTCAAAGCAGCATGAAGAATATTGTGCTGTAGCAAGTAACTGAGAGGCCTTCCATGGGTCAACTAGGGTAAACTCGTCTGATCTTTTATGTCGGCCCTTTTTCCTCCCAATTTTAGCAACACTAAAGAGGCCATTTCGTTGGCCCGACAAGACCGGTCCGGCAGCCTTCTTTACCTGATTCAGCGTCTCCTGCCCAAGACAGACAGGGCTACTTACAACGAGGTGGCTGCCCTGCGGGTGCGTCTCGGACAGGCAGGCACTACCTCTTCGGAACCTTAATGGATAACCAGTCCCGTCATATGTGATCAATTCTACCCTCTTACCTACGGCTTCTTACGTCTCCGATGCTTTTGTACAACCCTACCCAACCCATCGCGAATTGACTTCTAACTTGACACTAGTGCAGTTTTTTGCCTTTCCTTGATTAAATTCTCTACTGATATCAACTTGTGCCTACCTGGTCTATTGTATGTGAGGCATGTAATTTCGGTAGAGGGAGGCAACAAGTAAGAAGTGGGCCTTATTCTATATTATGAATGTACCTGAAGTGATGGGACGGTCGTTCTCACACACCATCACGGAAAATTTAGACCTTGGTTGGCCGAAGGTCTCCAGATTTACAGGGCTCGAACCGACCAACTCTCCAAAGCAGGTGGAGCACCACCTAGGATTGGGTATGCCTGGTTAATGATGGTCAACAATGACCATTCTGGTCTCCCTATCTTTGTTAGGCAATGTTTATCCGAACTAAGAGGTCTTCCCCTAACCAGTCGTCGCGTTTCCGGCAAAAAGGTAGCCTGTCAGACTGCATAATTCAACAGAATAGGGGTCGTCAGTACGCCGGGGAGCAATGACTTGCAAGTAAAACAGCTTACTGACGGGAAATTGCGTTACGACGACGACAATATGTTTAACAATAAAAAATAATTAGGAGGTTTGGCAGATTGGCTTAATTTGAGTTGACCCAGTCGTGAAAAAAACTCGAGGCGTTCGGCGGGATTTGAACCTGCGTAGTTGAAAGGCCTTTACCGGAAGCCAACGCTCTAACCACCTGAGCTACAAACGCCCCA